GTAGGAAAAATGAGAAGAGATAATAGCTGGAGAACAGGCAAAAGACTGTGACGAAGAGCCCTCTCCCTCCCCCTATTTAAGGAAGAAACGCGATAGCCGAAGAGGGGCAAAAGATCAGAGCGAAAAACTTTCTCCCTTCCTCTATTCAATGTGGATGGGAAACGATGGGACACACCTGACCGATGGAACGCACACTGACCGACGGAACGACGCCGGGTCAGGCGGAACGCCGCCTGGTGAGGCGAGGCGTGGCCGGGGTATGGCCCACCACTATCGCACGACCAGGCGCGAAAACCGAAGCGTCACCACACACAGGCAGCTCTCCGCATCCCCAGGCGGGACTTAGAAAAACCCAAAACGGGATCTCCGCCGGGAGAGATCATTGAGCTTTCTAAGTTGATCGAACGGCTCAGAAAAACACACCGAGAGACAGGTAGGGAGCGAAGGGACGCCCCACGTAGGTCATGCCGACTCCGTCACGGACGACGAGCATGGGTCCCGGTAGGACATTTCCGACTGGAGCTCTTCAAACCCCATCACTCGAGTCATCAAGGTAACACTACCGACCCTCTCTATTTCTTTATAAATCATTTCATACATCCATATGCGCATCCATTCCATACACTCGTACCCCCCACGGACGATTCGGGCCCTGAACCGTCCGGGGGCTTGGGAACTAAGCATCGCGCGTCGCGGCCGAATGCATCACGCTTCAGGTGCGTCCACGAAGCGGCGATTGCCTCAACATGAGCAACGCATCACAACGCTGAGCCCGTGTTGCGGATCATCTCAACCTTCTCGCTTCGATCCTAAGCCTCATTCTCTCCATCGAGGGTAGGCCGTTAGGCCACCCGGGTCGGTCTCTGGAACAACCCAGGCATTTGCCGGGTTGTAGGTAAAGGAGCAGTGGAATGTCACAAGAGGGCTATGCCGACCCCGTCACGAACGACGGACCCGGATTCCACTCGAGCATACCCGTTAGCGAACTCACCGAGCGCGTCACTCGAGCCCGAGCGATCAGGACAAGCGACAAAACTCAGCCCCTCCGGTTATGAGGAACCGAGGACGGGGTAACGCACACAACTCAAACCGACCCCTACTAAGGCCCGACAGGGCTCGGGGGCTCAAGACACCAAAACGCCTGGGTCTGCGACCCCGAACTCGCCCCATCCGGCTACACTTCGACTGCACACCAAACGAACGAGTCTGCGACCCCGAACTCGCCCCATCCGGCTACGCTTCGACTGCACACCAAACGACCGGGTCTACGACCCCAAACTCGCCCCATCCGGCTACGCTTCGACTGCACACCAAACGAACGGGTCTGCGACCCCGAACTCGCCCCATCAGGATCCACGAGCTCCGGCTCGCTCGATCCCTAAACTAACTACCTTGGCTGCACAGGCTGCGCCGAGGCCAGGATCCACGACTCCGACTCACCCGGTCCCACGGCGCGCACCGACACCGGGACCCGCGAGCTCCGTCTCGTCCGATCCCTGAAAACTAGCTGTCTCGATCCCATGGCGCGCACCGACGACAGGGGCCACGACTCCGACTCACCCGATCCCACAGCGCGCACCGACGCCAGGATCACCGTTTCTCCCGATCCCAACACTAGAACGCCTCGGCTGCACAAAACGCCGCCTTGGTTAAAACGACTCCGCCTCGACTAAAAAACACGCACACACGCCCGCTGACAAAAACCCCTCAGACGACTCTGCCCGAATCGTCCGGGGGCTCGGGGGCTACACCCGCGGTTGCGCTCGCGCGCACCCGCCGTCAAGACAAAAATCCCCCAGACGATTCTACCCGAATCGCCCGGGGGTTTCTGTCGGGTTCATAAATCCGGGGTCCCTCGTAGGCCGGATTTCCAACGAAGGCTCGGCCCAATCAGACAGCGCGCGACTCATGGGCCGGCCCATGTATCTGAACGACAGGCCAGAAGGGCGGTCCAGTCACCGACCGGAAGGTCTGGCCGAGGAGGAGCGACACCCGTTTTTCCTACTCCGGCCCACCTCTCCGACCGGAGTGCTCGCTCCGACTCCAGTCGCCTCCGGACGGCCTCTCCGACCGGAAGGTCTGGCCAAAACGCTACTTCCGACTCTGACCCCGCGTCTCCGACCGGGGCACGTCAAAACCTTGCTCACTGCTCTTCTCCAACTGGCGCAATCAGAGCCAGCTGGGACCAACCGACCGGGGACGCCCGCTCGGAAAGGACTAGGGAACGAACGGAGAAAGCGAGACAAGGCGCGCAAGTCGAACCACGATACCAGGGACCGTACTCTGTACACCTGCAGGAACAGTACTCTGCAACCGCCCTGACACAAATAGTGTTGTAGGCGCCGACATTTTCCGACAGTATTGTGGGCCCCATTAAACTCCCATACGGTAAGACCCCTCACATGCCTCTGGGCATGGACAATGTTGTGGGTGCCGGCTTTTACCGTACCGAGTGAACATGGTGAAACTCCTCACATGCCTCTGGGCACCAATAGTATATGCAGGTATCGACATCTGCCATACCCAAACAAAGACGACGTGACCTCCCACATGCATCTGATATCCAACAGTGTTGCGGGCACCCACCATCATCCTGTACCCGTCGGCGTGGGCAACAAGGCTTCGAAGCAAACCTACTTCCCTCTCACATGTAAGGCCATCCTCTTCATCTATAAAAGGGGATGTGCTCTCTCCCAAGAAAACTCAGTTGATTCAAGTTCATACAAGTCATCACAGATTCATTAGATCGACCAAGTTCACTAGTTCACAACCACAGAACCGCCAGGTTCGGACCTCAAGCACACGCTTGAACACTTAACTCACAGCGGTGCTCCTGTCGCTCTCGGCCCTTCCGATTGGAGCCGACCGGACCTCTTGTACACCCCATCTTTCTCCTTCTCGTTTGTAACCCCACTACAAACTTCGAGCACCTGCGCTCAGGAATAAAGTCACCGACCGACTCAAACTGGACGTAGGGCACGTTGCCTGAACCAGTATAAACCCTGTGTCATTGAGTGCTAGGCCAGCTCCGATCACAACGTACGGCAAAACTACAAATATTTACTTGTTGGTCACTTTCTGCACCGACACATATATACTACTTGATTACTGTCTGGAACAAATTACAAATTCGGGCACTATCCTTGTCCTTGACATGATAGCAGTGATTCTCTGCTATCCACAGAACACATCCCACAATGGATGGTTGCGCACCATATTACAATTTGCTATATAAGCACATTGCTGGAATGCCATTGAATCACATCTCAAATATATCCTGTGTGCCCTATTAGACCTTGAATTAACTGTTGTGATCATATATTGTTATGAACCACCAAGTTTTCTATGATTCTGGGTATTGGTTGAAATGACAGTATTGGACAATACCTGAGTGCCTACTGAATATGTTGTAGACTGTGCCTGTTCTTTTTAGTTGTGTGGGGAGTATGGCAGATTATCATTGTCCTAAATTTTTGACAGGTGTCGGCAAATCTTCATTGGTGCATCTCTTATTGAAAGGTTCTGCTGTGGCTCGACCAGCCCAAACAATAGGGTGTGCAGTTGGTGTTAAAGTAAGTAACCCTGGGCCTAATTTCCTTTGTTTTAATTTTAAAAATATATTCTCACACAAGCATTAATTCCCATTCTGCAGCATATTACTTACAGTAGTCCTGGGAGTTCATCTAATAGTATCAAGGGTGATGCTGACAGGAACTTCTTTGTTGAGCTTTGGGATGTTTCCGGACATGAGCGTTACAAAGACTGCCGTTCACTTTTTTATTCACAAATTAATGGTAGGTATTTTCTGCATCATTTTTCCTGCCAATAAAGTAATCCAATGCTGCATCTTTGCAGAAGTCATTTTTTTCTTTCTGTGCAGCTAGTTAAACTGTGTAATATGAAACAATATCCCCTTTGAATGATATTTCATCTTCTCAGCTAGCCAACCATACTTGTATGAATATAGGGAAAGAAAAAACCATACATTTCTTGCATTTCTTATATGAACTTTGTTACATTTTGTTAAATCAGCGTGAAACTACCTGGCATGGTATGTCCACAATCTGAAACCTTATTGTCCAGTTTTGCCCAAGTTCCGTTTGATTTGTGGTTGCATGCTGAAGCCTGAATTGATGTGGAAGAGATGGTTTATTGTTAGAATAATCTATTGTTCTCGGCCCTTGGCCCAGAGACATTGGGTGTGTTTGGTTTCCTGGCCTACTTCTAACCAGGCTAGAATCCTAGCCTGGGCAGCCTTAGCCTGCTCCCACCAAGCCAACTCCTAGTTGTTTGGTTGTCTATGTTATCTAAGCCTGGCTAGCAAATGAAGTGTTTGGTTTCCTGGTTTGCTTTGCATAGAGTCACCCCTTCTTTAACTTGGTAAGTTTACCGCCTTTGAGCTGAGATCCCTCCCAAATTTGTCTGAACTGAAACTCGGTCCCAATTCTAGCAAACTCCCAAATTTGTGCTGCCGCCATGGAATCCTAAAATGACTTTAGAATCAACTGAGATCCCCCCCTCCGCTCATGGATCAGCAGCTAAGTTGAAACGTTCATAGTTCTATTCTAACAGAAACATTCATAGCTGCATATGGATTACTGCAACTGAATTAATACACAAATCTAGAGGATTCCTGGCAAGACAACTCAATACACTACCAACAGATGAACAGACTGCGGATTGGCACCTATTTTAATTATTTACCGAAGCACTCCTTGCTCCGGCGTTGGAGCTCCGCTGGTACTCCACCTGTGGCTCCGTGTACCCGGACACGTCGGTCTTGAGCAAGTCCGTGTACGCCCTGAGCCTCCGCACCTGCGCCCGGCTCTCCGCCACCTCCCGCTGCAGCGCCGCCTTCATTGCCCGCAGCGCCTCCTGCTGCGCGACCACCTGCCTGTACGCCTGTGACCATCAGTACAGCACGGAGAGCACGGAGACCTGGGCGAGCAGGGGCGGACGCCATTGACGACGGAGAGCACGGAGAGCAGGACACGAGGACGATGGAGAGCAGTTCTGCACCAGGACGACGGAGGGCAAGCACGGCATCATGGACGGGCTCTTCAGTGACCGCCTCTAAGGCCTCTGCCGCGCGACGGCTTCCGCCTCCGAGCGCCGCCGCACACGCACCAGCTTGGGAAACCAGAGCCACGGTCGGATCTGAGGAGGGCGCGAATCTGGGCAGGACGGCGGCAGTGGCAAGGAGATCTGGGGAGGAGCGGGATGGAAGACGACGACCGGCCGGAGCGGAGCGGGATGGAAGACGACGGCTGGTCAGAGCGGAGCGGGCGGTGTGGAACTCCACCGTAGCTACGGGAGGTGACGCGAACTAGAATGGATGGCTGGCCAGGGCCTGGCCACGAAAAAACTCCCGCCAGCTGCGTTCTTCTGGAGCCAGGCTTCGGGCTCAAATTGGCTTTGCGGGGCCTGGCTTCGGCCTGTTTACAGGCAACCAAACAGCCGGGAGGTGGCTTCCTGGAGCCTGGTTGGGAGTTAGCCACCCAACCAAACAGGCCCATTGTAAGGTATGGGGCAGAATGCTGTGATCTATTTACCTGTATGAAATTTTTATGTGTTGCATATTCTTAATGTATTGCTACTGAATAATAATAGATAATGCGTTTTAAAGCTTTCTTTTTTTGGCAAGAAGATGGTTTTAAGATTCTTAACCTTTTCCGAAATTATTTTTCAGGTGTCATCTTTGTTTATGACCTCTCCCAGAGGAAAACAAAGACAAATTTGAACAAGTGGGCAGTGGAAGTTGCTGAATCTGGGACCTTTTCAGCTCCTTTTGGGTCTGGTGGTCCCGGTGGCCTTCCAGTTCCTTACCTAGTTATTGCCAACAAAGTGGATATTGCTCCAAGAGATGGTAGAAGAGTGAGCAGTGGGAATCTTGTTGATGTGGCTCGTCAATGGGTTGAAAAACAAGGCCTGCTGCCATCTAGTGAAGAACTGCCACTTGCAGATAGCTTTCCTGGCAATTCTGGTCTGCTCACGGTAAATACCATTATTTGCTGTCTGATGTCTTGTTTTAACTGACTGTAGTGTGGTGATCCATAGCTTGTCTGGCTTGTGAAGAAACAATAATTCCTGTTTTCTTATTGATTATGTGTGTGCTGTGCTATTTAAATTTTGAAATGACAGGTTTGACCTTTGAATACAGGCTGCCAAAGAGGCAAGATATGATAAAGAAGCTCTAATCAAGTTCTTCCGCATGGTTTGTGCAAAAAGAATCCTTGTCATTAGATTAGTGTTTGACACTATAATATTTACTAATGGTATTGTGGTACATCATTCAGTTGATAAGGAGGAGGTATTTTTCGAATGAGCTTCCTGCCCCTAGCCCATGGTCACTAACTCCCAGAGAAGATACCATTCTTCCTGTAGAAACTGTGAATGATGATGACATGTTCCAAAGAAAAAGGTGACTCCCTCTATCTATTACTGACGAATGCATGAGGGTTTGATGGAATAAACATGCATTTTGTGATTTTTTTGTCTGGTACTCTTGATGAGAACTGGATATATGCCGAGACATGATCAATAATTTGGTTACTTTAGCAACATCTTGTTGACATGCTTGTTTCCTAACTTGTAGCTACGGTGGCCAGAGCTACAAATACAATGGGGTTGCCCCACTGCCTGCACAGCGGAACCTAACTCCACCCCCGACACTCTATCCACAGCAGCCAATGTCCTCTTCATCAGAAAACTACAGATACCACAGATTTTCCTCCTCGTCAATACCTGATTCAAGTGGTGGTAGAACAAGCCGAGCAAACCTCAATATATGATGAGATATGTGAGTCTTATCCATTATCACCTGGAATGTGGGGAAAAAACATGACACTGGGTTTTTTGAATCCCAGGTTTTAGATATTTTTGAGTTGTGCACCTGTCTTTGATTTGATTGTAATATGTGCATGTTGACAGGGCGTTTGAACATTATGTTTGTGGGATCACTAGTGGTAAATTCTTTGATTCTTCCCTGTATATCTCCTAATTCTGTGTATGAATTCAATGTAGTTTTCTAGGAAAACACATTACATGGTGTACACTGATACTCTGTGCAATGGCAATCTGAATCAATCTTTTTCCCAAGTCCCTTGAAGTCACCCGGAAGAAATCAAGTCTTGTGGCGTTCTGGGGCACTGCAACTATATATATGTATCAGCATGCAGTCTGATGGGTTTTCACTCTATTTGGTTCCGTATCGACAGATTATGATTGTCAAGCACATATGTTGGATTGAGAAATGTATTTGGTATATAGGCGAGCACTGCTGGTAGGGATTTTCGACAAATTTGATTTATAGTTTGTAAAAGTAGCACATGGTGTCCATATTTGTCGTTAGATGCTACTTCTTCAGTTTCAAATTGTAAAACCTTTTGGATTTTTTAGATATAATTGCTTTTATTATGTATCTACACATAGTATATATCTCAATCCATAGCTTATTTACATAGCCAAATGTCACCTATGTGCTGTTAGACAGAAAAAAAACTGTAGTCATGGCACTGTCAATCTAAACGTCCGTTTAGTTTGTTTACACGTTATTTACGTTACACTAGGGTACGCTGTTTTCATTTAAACAACTGTTTTATCCTGTTTAAATGGCTGTTCTGCCCGTTTAAGAGGTTGTTTAGCTTAATACTTGCTAAATGACAAGTCGACCGACTGTTTAACATTTACGATAACAGTAAGTCATGGATAGCTACTTTAAAAAAAATAAAATAATGTACACAACATTATAAGAGGGTGCGTTTTGGATTACTTTACTTTCTCTATTTCAAATTTGACTTTTCTAGATACATAGTTTTCGTTATGCACTTATATGTACACTGTATCGAGTAGTAAAAGCAATTCATTTAAAAAAGCCATAACAGGACTGAGTGGGTATAAGCTACTTTAATTTTGTTGGCCAGACTGCCCCGGCAAATGCTAGCTAGAAGTATATAGGAGTATTACAAATGCTATATATGAGTATTATAAATATAGGAACCACATTTGAATATATAGCATCTGATGGTGTTGCTATCATGTAGGAACGGTGATGAGCGTCAGCTTTATTTATCTAACCGTCTGCGCTTCCTGCTAGGTGATGCTGTATGATGCTGAGAAGAGACCACCGGCTCATCATCACAATATGTAGCAAGATGAACAAACCTTTTGTAAGGGGGTATCCGTGATTCCCACACGACCACCTGAAATTCCTCCTTGGGCAGAACAGCTGAGCCTACAATCAGATCTCCAAACATCACCTTTGGCAATCGCCCTTTGGAGGCATCGATTTCTCTATGAGGGGGCATCAGGCGAAGTATACGCGATGATGACAACGGTGCGAGGCTGGTTATATATATTGGGTGCTCTTTGTCCATTAGATTCTTCGGATGCACACCGAAAATTGACATGTTGTTCTCCACCACATTGCTGTACTTTTGTAATATGCAGAGCCAGGCGCCAACATGCTGATTCTTCCGTAGCAAATGAGCACACAGGTTCGCCGTGACGAGTGATCCTCTCAGGGCCTCTGCTAGATCTTGTGCTACTGATGCTAACCGAGGGTGCTCTTCTGGGTTTGTGCTTCCAAACGCAAGAACCTTGAAGAGGTAGCTGTACTCCTGGTGCGACAAGCTGTTAAGATAGATTGGCTGTACAGTTCCGAGCCTCGATAGCATCCTAATCTTACTGACAATTACGATCTTGCTTCCTCTGCCCATTTGTTTTGCTGCTGATGAGTAAAACTTGAGCCACACCTCATCTTCCACATCTGATGCAAAGTGAACCACGAGCAAAGACTTCCCTGCTGGTGCTGGTATAACAGGAGCAGCGTCATGCTCCATTGTCCAAATGTTTTCTCCAGTCAGGTGCAGGACTGAAGAGAACTGTGACCTGATTTTCTCGTTGCTGCACACATGTGCAACCAGAGTTTTCTTACCGACTCTAACACCGCCTATCACTGGGAGCACTGTGGGAGTGAAGGGAGGAGGATTATCTTGCAGTAAGATATTGATAATCTGCTGCTTTTCTACGTGACGACCAAACATGAAGTTGTCTATGTAAAGATACGAGTCATAGGGGCTGCGGAACATGAGTTCGCATCCTTGGAGAAGAAATACAAACTCTTTCATATTTGAAAGAACAGATTCCAAATTATCCAGTGTAGGCTGAAGCTCATGATCCACACAAGTAAAAATTCGTTTAATACAAGTGGTGAAGGACAATTCACTGAAGCTGCTGCTGACCTCGTTTACAGTCCTGTACCTGTTGGGTGTCCAGGACAAGGTAGCCTTGGTACATGACCTCCACAAGCTTCTTGAGCTGAAGCAGCATCTTTGAGTTGGTGATGTATCGCACCTCGGCCTCCTCCACAATCATATGAGCTCTAATTAGTAGATCTTGCAGCGTTCTCACCTTCTTCTCCAACTGCTCTTCACTTTTGTACTTGTTGAACAAGAAGGACATGAACCGGTTAACTAGCGGCCTGTTCGCTTGGTCGTAAACGATCGTAAATTTCCAGCTGGAACAGTATTTTTCTCTCACATCAAACCAGTCAGCAGTACTTCTTCACGATTCAGCAACAAATAAGCCCAGCCAAACGAACAGGCTGTAGTTCACCTGCAACTGCAGATACAACCAGCTCCATCTCAATTTTCTTTCTTCGCTAGCTGCGCCTATCTCTCGCAGAGACCTCTCTCAAGTCTGAGACTGTATTTATCCTTCGAATTCGGTTTCTTTACATGGAATACGGGAAATGATAAAGCTGAGTTCGGTCAACGAAAGCTACGTGCAATTGCCCCCTAACCATGTTCGTTTGTTTGGTCTCTTAAGTGGCCAGCGCATAGGGGCCAAGTCAGGATAAAATATGGCCGGGATCGGTCCAAACATACACAGTACTAACTTTGATAGAATACTATGAAAAATATTAATAACAGATGATATAGTAGGCTAATATTATGGACAAGATCATTTCATTGTGTTAAATTGCAATCAATGAATAATTAACCAACTCTATTAAATAATATTTCTTTGCGCAGTCAGAACCGACACGCATCGCCGCAATGGCCTCCCTCGCCTCCTTATCAGAGCTCTTCGCCCCCAACGACTCCCTGTACTCCGTTGGCACAGCAGCGAAGATAACGTCCAATGCTGACATGTCGCCGTCTTCGTTATCGGTGCCCTTGTCAATGGCATTCCAGAGCCGTCGGGCTCTGAGCTTGACCTTCATGGTCACCGCCCACTCGCCATAGTTGGTGAGAGTCAGCGTCAGCCAACTGGTGCCGCTGACCTCCCGCACCGTGTGCATGACGACCTCCTGTCGTGGCTGGGCAGCCACAACAGTGCCGCTGCTATCGCCCATCTCCAAACCGTCCGTCATCACCGGCGTTTAGTCCAGCGACGACGCTTGTACTGCTCCGATACCACTTGTTGGTCCCTCGGCTGCCCTGCACAGATAAGCAGTAAGCTTACCAGGACACTCACTCACTATGACTAGAGGTAGAAGAAGATATTGAGAATAGCTCACACACACATAAGCCCAGCGCTGGCCGAAAGCTCTGTCTCTGGATGTGGCAAACTGAACTAATTTGCTGTATTGCCTTTGTATAGAATATATATAACTCTAGCTATACCTCTACCAGGTATATAATTGTTGGTGAGTACACCAACTATCTACTCCTAAGATACAAGGGTACACCAACTACCTACTCTTAAGATACAAAGCTTAGCTCAGCCATCTCTACACTATAAGGCTGAAGTAAGCCATTTCTATCTACTGCCTCACTGCTGAATGGTCAGCCGAGCTGATGAGTTCCATCTCCTAAACCAGGAGAGGACAATTGTGCCGACCAGTCAAGAGAGATAGGAGCAGCAGATTATGTCAAAAGAAATACTGAAACAAGACAGAAGACCACTCAAAATTCCAAAACGAAAACAGAAGTGACTGAAGTGCCAAACACCAAACCCCAAGAGGGACCAACATGTGACAGCCAACTGCGCAGGTACCCCACTAAGCCGATTGTGTTATAGCATCGCCATTTTGCATTGCCAAGTTGTATTGTGCAATGTTATCCTTGCATAGGCTCACAACTTCCCTTGGATGCCTTGTCTTCTGTTGAAAAGTTCTTCTATTCCGTTGCTTCCATATATGCCACCGGAAATAGGTTATGATTCCGTCAAAAACCTTCCTTTGAGGTTTCTCAAAGGTGGCTCAACATCTCTCCAATAATTATAGATTGAGCCGGTTTGGTTTATATTCCGAACATGGGATATTTCGCATCATGTCTGCATAATTGCCCAGGTCTCCTTTGTGAAAATAGTCTTTACAGAGATGCTGTGGCGTCTCAGGCTCCACTCGGCATAACTTACAAATGGGGTCACCATTTGGCCAACCTCGTTTAATCAGGTTATTTTTGGTGAGGATCTTTCGGTGAAGTAGAGTCCTAGCTTTCCAAATTGGGCTAAGCCTCAGTTTGCTGAAAGTCCATGTAAACTAAATGTTGCAAGCACTACTAGTGGTGTACTCCCCATCCACTGTCCACCGCCACCGGATGGTATATATCCTCAACCTCTTGGTTCCTTGATGTCTCATGGATGGCCTCCCAAAGTTCAACGTATTCTGTGAGTTCAGCTCTGGATGTGACTGGGATTATGTGCTCTATCCATTTAATGTCATTAAGGGCTTTGTCAACTTTAATTTTTTTCCTTTTACACTTGGCAAATAATATGTGCGCAATGTTCTTGGCTGCTTTCCCATTGATCCAGCTGGAGGTCCAAAAGGAGGTTGATTTGCCATCGCCTACTGTTACTACCGTTGAAGCGTTGAATAGTCCCGTCTTTTTGTCACATGGTATGTCCAGTTTGTTCCATGCTCTTTCTCTTTCCACTTGAACCAAAGCCATCTCAACCTGAGTGCTCCTGCAAATCTTTCTAGGTCTAGGATTCCTAGTCCGCCTTTCTGTTTTGGGAGGCAAGTTATTGGCCAATTAATTAGTGAATGGACGCCGTTAACATTATCTGGTGTTTCCCCACACCATAAGAAGCTTCTTCTAATCTTATCAATTCTCTTAATCAACCATTTTTGAGCTGGGAAAGCTGTTAGGTGGTAAATAGGTTGAGAGGAAAGTACTGTTTTCACCAGGGTCTCTTTTCTAGCTGACGATAATAGCTTCCTTTGCCATCCTGGTAGCCGAGAGCCTATCTTGTCTATGAGAGGTTGCAATTCGACCCTTCTTAATTTCTTTGTGTGCAGCGGTAGTCCAAGATATTTCCCTGGGAATTAGCTGATCTTCAGTGGGAAGTTCTGTAGGAGTGGTTGTACCATAGTAGGGTCTAGTCGAATTGGGAAAATCTCTGTTTTGGCCATGTTGACCGATAGCCCCGAGCATTGACCAAAGATTTGGAGAATTCTATGCAAGTTCATTAAATCAGTAGCTGTAGGTGCCAAAAAAAATTGCTGCGTCATCTGCATACAGCGAACATCTTAGATTTGCCGATCACGGCAGAACTGGCTGAAGGAATCCCTTTTGAGCTGCTAGATCAATAATGCACTGTAGGGGATCAATTGCAAGAATAAACAACATTGGTGACAGCAGGTCGCCTTGTCGTAGTCCACATCATGCTTAATTCTCTCCTGGTTTGCCATTTAAAAGAAATTTGGAAGATGATGTTAGGAGAAGAGAGGAGATCCAGTCTCTCCATTTTTGACTGAACCCCAGCGCTTCGAGTACTTCAAGTAGGTATGGCCAGCTGATGGAGTCAACAGCTTTTGAGATATCAAGCTTAACAAATAATCCTGGGCTGTTTTTCTTATGTAATGCCTGGATCACCCGCTGCGCATAGATAAATTTTTTTTGAAGTAAGGGTAGGAGCTCTGCCATTCATTAAGGGGTGAAAGAAGAGTTATATGCACAGAGTGGTACTAGGGTCAAAAGGGGCAAGCAAACATACAACCAAACTGTGGAGGCAAACTGTATACAGGGGGGCTTTAGCCCAGCAGTAGAGCATATTGACTAGGTGTTGTGAAAGTCTTTCTATATTGCACTAGATCATCTTTCGCTCGCTCGGCCACCTGTAGTGCTGTGGAGTAATTATTGTTAAAATTTTGGCGATTACGTTCCTTCCACAAATTCCACATGATATGAATAGCCATTCCATTGAACTCTTGTCTCATCTCTTTCTGGACTGAGGGCAATGTTGATTCCCACCATTCAATTAAGGTGTCCGCCTGAGTTTAAAGGGCTTGGTGGAGGTTGCTGAAGTTTTCCCAGGCTGCAACTGTAGACCATACCACCTGTGCAAAGGGGCAGTCCAGACAAAGGTGAAGAGATAATGCAGTTATCTTGGTGAGGCCATCCCCTGAGAGCGAGATTGTCTGCTGTTAGCAGCTTGTTTTGGACAAGAATCCAAGCGAACACTTTGCACTTGTTCTCCGCTCATGCACGCTAGATGATTTTGGCCTTGTACCTCCTGTAGGAACCAAAGAATTGAGCGTGGTAGGCCGACTTCGTGGTGTATTGCCCGTTATTGGTCCATTTCCAAGTGATTTGATCTTCTATATCCGGCTGCAGCTGAACATCGTGGATGCGTATCCAGAGTGAGACGAATTCTTGCAATTGAGACGATGTAGTGATTTTCCTCCCCACAGCTTGTATCCAAGCATCTTGGCATAGATAAAATTATCATGTATGCACCTTTCCTGATGAATGCATTCTGGGCATTTGACATTAAATTATTCAAGTGTGGCGCCAACCGAGTTGCCAGTATCTTTGTTATTATCTTAACGACACTGTTTATTAAACTAATTGGTCTATAATCCGTCATGGTTGCAGCTTCCGTTTTCTTGCGCGCAGGAGAATGATGTTCGCCTCATTTATCAGGTGCAACTTGGCTGTTCTGTGATTATAAAAACCTTGTACTGCTTCTACTAGATCTCGTTTTATTATCTCCCAGCATTTTTTGTAGAATAAACCGATGAACCCATCCGGCCCAGGAGCTTTCATTGGTGGCATGTCTTTTATGATTTTTGCAATTTCCTGCTCTGAGAATGGTGAGTCCAAACTATCTAGCTCCAACTGCTTATAACCCAGGGCCTCCCAGTTTAGAGATAGATTCCCGTGCTTTGGATTACCTATGGACTCGCTGAAAAATTGATGGGCAACATTGCTTTTGTCTTGCTGAGACACCGCAATCCCGTTATTGCTGAGTATGGAACTTACAAAGTTTTGTTTCCTCCGGACATTTGCAAATATGTGGAATAGTCGGCTGTTGGTGTCACCATAGCGTATCCATTTTAGTCTGGAGTGTTGTTTGGCTTTACTTTTTTGTACTACTGGCCTACTGCCAACCACACTAATTTGGATTTTAGGAATTTCTTGAACTCCAATTCCTCAGGTGTTAACGTCCGTCTTTCCTGTGATCTTTCTAGTTCTTGGAGGATTAATTGCATTATTGCACTTCTCAGTTTC